GCACTCCACCGGAGGATCTCATCGTAACTCATGGCGTGTCATCGATACTGACACGTCCTAGCACAAATTCTATTCTTCCACTTCTTCACGTATTGCAGCTCCATTTTATGCTTCAGTGTCAACCAAAATGCCTCTCCTTGGTCTGTGTTTTTAGTCAGAAGAGCCCTAAATTTCTTCAAGGCTACATCATGGAAACTCATGATCACACTGAAATCCCAAATGGGAGGGTTATTGCTTGCTCTCCATTCTTCAAAAAGCGAAATGCTCACATCGTCCCCCGATAGGTTGCGTGGGTAGCGATAAATTTACTCACAAGGAAAATATACCATGTCGAAGTGGCCAATGGAACCCGGAGATGTGTTTTCGGACGCTGATCTCGAATCCACTCTCCAAATTTGCGAAACGATTCTCTGAAAAGTGTTACGGAGGTTGTTTCGAATGAAAGCCCACTGTAAGAGACTCCGGCAGAGCAAGCTTCCAGCGGCGGCTTGGCCGAGTGGTAGTGTTGGCGGCTTCCAGTGGTGAGACCATGGATGGGATCTTGCTGGCATGAAGTTTTTGCTCTTTGTAATTAGGTCTAATTTAAGTATGAAAAATTATTCAGTTTGAAATTTCACACTGCGTCCAAAGCTATCACGTGTTTAGAGGGGTTTGCTTCAAGCATCATCCACTTTTGTCGTAATGTTTCCGACCACTGTCGGGATGTTCCTACGCCACGGAAGTGACGTACAGTCGATATCCGAAAGTTGGGGTAGGCGTGTCACCGGAAGTGACGTGCACTTGATAGAAGTTGCGTGGATAAGCTGTTGCCAGCATGCTTTGCTGATATCCAGCGATGTATGTTGGAAGCAGCTTATCCACATAGCTTCTATCAAGTGCACGTCACTTCCGGTGACACGCCTACCCCAATTCTCGGATATCGAGTATATCTCCGATGATGGGGTAAACAAATGGGAAGCTTGCTCAAAAGACTGGACTATCTTTGAAGGCTTACTCCTAGAAAGCTGACATTTGGACCCAATTTCGAAACTCGGTCTACAATGAGTCGTAGGTGTTATCCCTAGCCCCAGCCACTACCCTCCTGCTCCTCCTGACGGCAGCGAGCGTGTACTTGAAAAAAATACCATAGAAATCTTCGGATGGCGCAAGCAAGTAGAGCGGATATCTCTCTCACAACAATGATTGAAAGTTTAATCCCATACCATGATCAGGCCGGCTCTGACAAAGGGTCAGTAGGTAGATATGACTGCCCACATTTTCGATTTTGAGTTAAACGTTAAATTTAGATCAAAAGTTGAAAGGGTATCTTCACGCGCTGGATACGAATATCAACTCTGATCGGTACGAAATTGCCTGACGCACTATGGGTGTCAGGGGCGGTCGTTTGCAATTGCGCGCACGGTGTTCAAAGTTCTTTCCAGCTTGTGATGTAGGCAATCGCTGATAACTTAGCATGGATAAAAGTCCTCTTAAACAATGTTCTCAAGAAAAGCAAAAAAGAACTCGCCAAGAATTCGATCTCACGACCTCTTGCTCGTCGGCCCGGGCCGCTGCCACTGCACTATCTCGCTTCATAACTACGTTCAGAGAATCGTTTCGCAGATTTGGAGAGCAGATTCGAGATCAGCGTCCAAAAACACATCTAGTGGTGTATGTCTCGTTACAAATGGCCACTTCGACCTGGTATCCTTCCCTGCTGCTTTTAGCTGGACTGCATAAAATCATCTGTTTTTTTTTCTAGGAGGACGAGTGCAGGACAGGCTCTGAACCCACTCCGGTGAGCATTCCATCCGTCTCTCTTTCAGCTCACATGCTTGCTTGGCCCTTTACTTGCTTACTTACTAACGAACAAGCGAACAGTCTAACTATGAATTTTGTGTCACAAAGTGGGACATGGTCGGCGTCTCTTAAGCTGAAAAGTCGTCCTCCAGTGAAGATATGTTCGACTGCTCGTGCTTCACAACCCACTAAATACATTGATCTAAGTGACGCAGTAAGAGACCCGAATGTTGCGATGGACCTCCAGACTATCTTTCACATGATGAGAATTATTTTATTGCCGATGTCTAGATAGGCGAGAAAAAACCACAACTGGTTGGCCTCTTACAATGAAGTGCGTATTCTGGAGTCGTTAGGAAAGTTCCGATGCAGTGCATGGGAACTGGTTGTTTGTGTTGTCAGAGCACAATAACCGATCCTCATGAGAAAGGAGCAAAAATATGACGAAAAGATATTTTGTGATTTGTCTAACCACCACTTTCAAAGACGAAGAACTTTTGCATGAATATTTTGATGGTGCCGGTCTTTCACTTGACCCTATGCTTTTATTGCTGGTAACAAGAAGTGGGATTTTCACGTAAACCAACGCGAAAGCACGACTGGCTCGGATGCGTAGAACAAAGGATTGCAACGCCGATTCGAGAACTGCAACTTGGGAGGCAACTTTGAAAGCTCATGAGGCTGCAAATGTTTCGCTCACGGAGAGCTGCTGCCAACGAAGTCCACTGCTATTGGTGAACAATAATGTTAGCAAGTGGATTCGGTTTCCCGGCATGGTGCCCGGAAAATCTGAGAAACTTTACTTTATGTCGGCAACGCTCGCCCACGAATTACGAAGAAGGTCTAGTAAAGGTCTCCAACTTCGTTGTGGGACGATCTGATTCACCTTGTGTGTTCACCAAACCTAGTAGAGACACACTACCAGAAGCCTGTGCTGCCGGCGAAGCAATGGAAAGAGGAGCAGGTCGATGATACGGACCTAGTCGGAGGGAAGCTTTTTGCTTAGAAAGTCAAGATTTCTGAACAACCGGCAACATGCGGTTACCTGCTGAAAAGCAATGCTTCGGCGATTGTGGTGGTGTATGTATTTGTAAATTCTCATCTGTAATAAAAAAGAGAAATATTAGGTTGTCTCATAAATAGTGTCGCTTTTTTTCAACCAAAAAATTTTCATCTAAATCCCCATGCTTTTACATCGGTTATATACCATTCGAAAGAGAATTGTCTGCTCTACAAAATGCTATGTTCCTCTTCCACCTCTGTTCCAGGGTTTTCAAATTTTAGGCCTGCGAAATGGGAGGTCCAGCCGACAAAAATTGACCAAACCGACAACTAGCTCTAACTTTATCTTCCCTTGGAGAAATCAATCAATGATGTACCCTCTACTTACTCATCTATTTACTCATGACCTCTTCTGAACATTCCACTCTAAGTTGCCGAAAAAGCTTTGCCGTGTTTCTTTTCGAATCGGCTGACCGATAAGCCATAGCAATTTTCAAATTAAAAATTGTTCCTCGTAAACGCCATTGTTTCATATCGAAAGTGGTGTACCTTTGTGCGAGCACTTCTTCTGCTCTATTCGCGCATTTGTTTTGTTTTAATGTTTGTTACGAATTAGCTCGAATTTTAGGTGCGAAACCAGAGCTCGTACGTTAGGTGTTTAGGAAGTAAGGTGTTTTATCCACGAAAGTGACCGCATTTCTTTGAAAAAAATTATTCCTGAGAAGATGAGAAAATCAACCAGGCGTACATTCCTAACTTAGTCATGACTTGTTCTTTAAATTCTACTAGTTTTTCAATGTCTCGGCTGTAAAAAATTTTTCGACCTAGATCTCAGGTCAATGGGCCGACCGGTCGAGTTACGGGGTTGAAAAAACCAGGTCTGGAAATGGAACGACGGACTTGTTGGGAAACCTAATAGTGTAATGTTCAGAAGAGGTCATGTGTAAGTAGAGGGTACATCATTGATTGATTTCTCCAAGGGAAGATAAAGTTAGAGATAGTTGTCGGTTTGGTCAATTTTTGTCGGCTGGACCTCCCATTTCGCAGGCCTAAAATTTGAAAACCTGGAACAGAGGTGGAAGAGAAACATAGCTCTTGTAGAGCAGACGATTCTCTTTCGAATGGTATATGACACGATGGGTGTAAACGACACTATTTATGAGACAACCTAATAATTTTGAACCTAACAGCTTGCAAGTACGCAAAGGATTTTCCGACAACTTAACATATTTACACTTACGCTTACTGTGTTTCGTGCCAAATAGCGCCTATGAACTCTTCCAGGCGGAACGATATCCGGCAGAAAAGCCTTTGGAGCAGGTGAAACCACCAGCAGAGCCGATCAAGCCTACGGAGCCAAAAAGAGTTGAATTTATCGTGAGGAACTTTTCGTACGAAATACCGTTCTCCCTCCAGCGAGTACATGCTGCTACCAAAATAAAAATTAATTTACATAGTTGCATTCCTTATTAGGACTTGCTTGAAACAAATACATAGCACTTCTTCAGGATGATGGGTGCAGGACATCTCGCGAGCCCCTGCCGGTTCAGGTATGGCTAACTCGTTATGTCAATTTCGCAGTGGGAGTTTGGTCCTACCATTAGAGTGCTATTTGCAGGATGAAGGATGTAGAACTGCTTCCGAACCCACTCCGAAACCGGTATCAATTAGCCAATGTTCTTACATTTTTAATGCGGCTCCCGCTGGGACCCATTAGACTCATCCACACACACTTTTCAGGATGAAGGTTGTAGAACTGCTGTGCCACCCTCACCTAAACTGGTAAATAATATTCGCTCATCATCAGTGTTTTCAAGTTTGAATGCGGGTATTTTATGCTGTGTTTATTTGTAGGTTGACGAATGCAAGACTGCTTCTGAGCCGACACCTATAGCAGTATGTGCTTTTACTTGTGTGGCATTTTCTCATCATAATCTGAGGTACTCGTAAACTTCTTGAGATCTTCAACCTTAGTGGATGGGTAGAGCGACACCGAATTTGTGACGGCATCCATTGACTGCGAAAAAATTAGGGCTCCATTTGTTGGATTAGCAAACCCGCCACAGAATCTTTACCTAGCGTGCTATCAAGAAATCTCTCACCGAATTTAGCTGGATTTTCTGCATGGTAAACCCAAAGCCAAGAGGAAACCGAAATCTCAAAAAAGTCTATTTCTCTGAAGAGGACAAAACAATCATTGAAATCTTTTTCACGCCACCGTGCACGCCTTTCTCCTTCATCTGAAGGCCTGTTGCGTAAATATTTCAATCCAAAGCTAGGTCTTTTTGAGAAGGAATTTTTGAATAAGCAATAAGAAATAAACACTTTTTGAAGTTGATTTGTTTCGTTGGGCTAGTGTTCTTTTTAGTGTAATGATGTCCTGGTTACCATGATTTTGGTCCACCCTGTGCAACGCTTTCGTAACTACTACATCCTGCTACAGGGTATAAGAATGATACTCTACGGTACCGGCGCTAAAATTACGCTATTGTGGGAATTTTGAAATCGTGCAGCCATTTAATGCAGAGTGTGAATTGTATGAGTTCAAGAGATAGTATACGCATGTGAACATGTTTTTTTTAGGATGAACGATATGCACCTCGAAGGCAGCCCGCGCCGATACCAGAAGAGGTTGGCGCTTGTCTGATTACTGTCCTACCTCAGATCTTTATTTTCTTTAAAATATATCGGGAAGAAGTTTTAAATGATTTTTACAGTCAAGACTCTCGGGGGCGTAGCTGTTCCTTCTAATTTGTTTTTAGTTCCAGTGTCCCAAGGAAGAGGTTCCACCCAGTGAGACAACAGCCAAAACGAAAACTGAGACCACCACAGAAATTGCTTCAACCCGTACAGTCGAAAGGGCGGACACAGTAAGTTTTTGTGGTCACGCATCTGCAGAGGAGAAGACCTACGAGGAGCTTGACATATTGTGCAGCTTTTTCTCGTTTTTCCCTCATATCAGCCATATCAAAGTTTTACATATACTTGTGCTGCGGATGCTACTAATTCCAGCCTAAATAAAGGTTGCTAGTCGCGAAAGGGAATTGGGAAATGAGAAATAGGTGGTGCATAAGAGCTGTAGAACTGAAATTTAAGGTATTACGGTTTCACGCATAAAATAATGAAAGTTATTTCCAGGACCAAAACTGTACGACCGCGAGGCATCCGTCACAAAAGCAGGTGGGTTTTCTAATCTTGGCATAGTTTGCGCCTTCTCGAAGGTTCAAACGGCTGGTGGCTTAACTTAATTCCAGAACTAAGGGGAAACCAGAATCTAAAAAAGGTCCACTTTCTTGAAGAGGACAAAACGAAAAACTTGGGATCATTTTGGCGCGTCTCGCGTGCGTGCCACCGTGCCCGAATTCTTTTCTTTCATTCATCTTATTCTTTCATTAAAGGTGTATGGGAGCAATAGGTGAAAGGACTTCGATGTTGCTAGCTTTGTTGTGAAAAAGAGGGGTAGTCCGATGATCGTGACCTAGAGGAACCCTTCAAACTTTGTGCCTCAAAAGCTCAGGATTTCCGAATGAATCGTAACCAAAAGTTATCTGGCAACAGGGCCCACGTTCAGCGACTATGGTAGAACGTATATGGCATTGTCGTTAGTTTGGCTTACTAAAGAATAAAAACTCCGAAAAAAGTGACAAATTCGCGAAAGACTTTTCCGACAGTCCAATATTAGGAATAACGAAGATGCAGCGTGTTTTTAACCTGAATAGTCACTTTTTATGACAGCGTGTGGGAAATGCTACACTCCTTAGCGTTTTTGTCAATATCACCATCTGACGATTCTTTTTTGTATTCTACGCCGATATTCCCACCTTCCATGTTATTGCTTGCAGAACAAGGCTGGCATAGCTTTTCCAAACCATTCGGCAAAGTAAGTCAATGTAAACAAAGTAGCGCACGGTTTGTCCCACCCGTAGACTAGAATAGCGTCTTAGAGAGCTCCCCCCAGTACGATCCCCCTTTTCCACAACCGACCACCACCCTCACCATCATGACTGTTCTTAGTATTCCAAAACGGCTGTCAATCAAGAAGAGGGGAGGTGGGGTAGATTGATATTAATCATGAAGCCGTCCAGTTCGCATCAATTTTGCTAAATTACCCACTTCTTTCGTGACTTCGTTCGAAAAAAGTCGTCTCAATTACACAAAACCTCTTTAACAACCGTCTTCAACCTCCCATCCCCCCTATGACCTCTTGCTCAACTCCAAAATGCGACCCCACCTTTCGAATAATGCGAACGTACGGCTGACCCTGGTAGTGGCTCTAGCGCAAATGAAAAAATGATGCTGCTGACACCTTCGTCCATGACTCCACCACAAATTACTGGCACAATTTCTCTTGCGGTCGGTTGTTTACTGCACATACCAACACATGTTTTCAGCGTGCATTTACTGAATTACTGCTTTCAAAATGTCAATTATAAATACTATCCAAATGGGACATGAACTTAAAGGCACAACCCAGGCAGAGGTCGTGTGAACGCTTCTCTTCGGTTTGTAGAATAGATCGCTAGGACAATCACAAATGTGGCGTTCTCGTGCACGGAAACCTTGCAAAGTAAGCTGCCCAAGCTGCAGACTTTTCTCTCTTATCAGACTGTTGTCTGGCGATCTCTCATCTGTAGCGCTCTCTCGCCCCATACTCTCCTCTCCGCGCTTAGTCTCTCATTCCCTTAGCACAGCCGATTAGGAAGGTGAGTGAGCCCTTAACCTGAGCGTTTTCGACGGATTCTTTTCCTTTTTTCTTTACTGCCGGCCCACTTGGCACCAATACATTCGCATTCGTGTGCAAGAGCCACACCAATGTGATCCTGGGGCATGCCTTTAATTTTCACCACGGCTATGTGTATCGCGATATCGAAAGTACATACATGGCAAAGCACTCAAGAAATCAATGTCCCATGATATTTTTGAGGGTCCAATTATAGCACGCCAAGATTGCTCAGTCTCCCATAAAGATGCACTTGATTACCGAACACGTAGTGTACAATAACGGGAAATGTTGGCTTTTGCGGCGCAAAGGGAGGCAGATATACAGTCGGAAGGTTTGAGTACGAAAAGATGACTGGGACCTGAAAGAAAAGCTCTAGAGACGTTGGACAGAGGCACACTATAGAACCAACAAGCTTGCGTTTATACCAACTTTTTACGAAACCTGTATCATCAGTAGGCTCACGGTCAGAAAATAGACGTAGGCATATCAGCTAGAGACAACTAATGTATTTGCCTGCCATATAATGTTGTTCTAGCCCCCGAGTGAACAGGAGAAGCAGCCATGTGTGCCGTCAGAAACGGAACAAAAGGAGCCGATGCAGCATGGAGTGGAAGCCCCTGAAGAAATTGCGGAGTTGATTACGGAAGAGCCGGAAAAGCCTAAACCTGAACCTTCGGATCCTTTAGCTGAACCCTTGCTGCCAGCTGTAGAACCAGTTGAATCACAGGAAGCGTGGAATAAACCGATGGAAGTTGATGGCACACAACCTGGGTCAGTAGAACAGTTGAAAGTTGACAACACTCCAGCTTCCTCAAAGGAGAGTGAGGCACCACCAGCAGAAGTACAGAAGGTGACAACAGAATCGCAATCACAACGCACACGCAGAATGGAGAGGGATGAAAAAGTGGATATATCGAAGGAGCGAGGTGAGTTAGGGACATTGTTGTGCCGGAAAGAGTCAGAGATGTTTACATCTTCTAGAACGCTCGTTCTTACTTCTTTAGACATGATTGAACAGCAAAGATGTAGAGAAGAAAGCGGTTCTACCGCAACGAAGGATTCTCAGAGGTCGGAACAGTCATCGAAGACGGTGAGTCCTTTCTGTCAAAAGAAAACCACAGTTATTATCAGAATCGTATCAATAGGTCGAAGTCACGCAAACGACCCGGCAAATAATTTCCCACGTACGTCGTCTTTTTTTCGCAACCATGATTTTTTATCCCGTAATGCTGTTTCATTTCAGAAGATGCCCATGCGGACACAGATTGTCACGGTGAGATTCCTTCGCTCTACCCAAAAGAGCGGTTGCATTTGAATTTCATTTTTAGGAGAGAGAGATTCGTGGAGAGGCGTGTTCTTGAGAGGATACTAGTGGTAAGTGCTTCGGCTTAACGCTTCTATTCAAAAGTGTTAGAGGATAGGTTTGAGATTATCTCCTATCTCGCATCGCTGTTTTGTAAAAGATTTTCCATCGTCTTTAGCAGGAGTTGATCAGTGCCTTCACCAGATTTAGTTGTCCCATAAATTTGTGCCACTTTTTTGCAGCTCATGCCAGAACCTCGATTTCTGAATGCGACCAAGTGAGCTACGAAGAACCCACTTGATTGAGTAACCTTCACATCACTCATGTCCGCCCTAGCTGCTTTCTTCCTCTTCAAAATCGCAAAAGAAGAGAGCCATGTTTCTCACCCTTTGATTTATGAACTTCTGCTGAACCAAAAACCGGTCGAAGCCAGGAGCAACATTTGCTCCGCGATACATCTCCCTGTCGTCTTTCACATTGCTATATCAGAATAGTTAAATCTGCTTCGCTGTGCAGACTACAGCCTCGAGAACATCCTGACCGGGAAGGCAATCGTGTTTGATTTGAACCTGCTGTGCTCTTCTATTGGATTCAACTCGCACAATTCATTTTGCTATGTAAGCGCCACAGACCTTTTAGGAACTGTTGGAAGGGATCTGCCCTTCTTTGGGGAATTAATATAGGCTTTGACAAAGAAATCCTCATGAAATGATCAGTAAGCACATGAGTGTGACATGAGTTCAGTCAACATCTTCTATGCTATTCCATCCAGTCGCGGTGCCTGAACAACGGCGCTACTGCTGATGAAAGGTGTTGTCTCTATGCTAACCACTTTCCATCAGCGGTAGCGCCTGCAAAAGCGCCAGTGGCAGAAGGGGCTGAAAATTTTTCAAATCCAGCAAAAAAGTTTCGGCCCACTTATAAAGAGCAAATCGCAAACCAGCCGCTGAGAACTTACCTGAGAACTCCGGCTTTGGCCCTTGTATCAAGGAAAGGTCTCCTGTAGTCCAACCGCCTTGAAGCTTTCAGAAAACTTCAACTAATGCGCTCATAACTCGATTCACCTATGTTATCGCGCTTATGACACCCGAAGACGCACGGGTGTTTCGCCCAATACCCCCTGTTAAAAATTTTGCAAGCTCGCCGACCTCCCCGTCAGCTCCAAGCCACCAGCTAGTGACTACCCTTTCCTACAACAACTACACTTCTTGCTTGAGTGGCGGCATCATGCGGGCAAAGAAATGGCGGTTTCAATATAAAAGAAGACCTCGGAATCGACATCATGCGCCTCCTCCACGCTAACTGCGGTGCTCTTCTAGGGAACACGCCATTGACTCCTTGGTGATGCGTTGGCAACAAATCACTGATAGTGATGGTCCGTATATTGGTGGTGGAATATTGCTTTTTGTTGAGATTATGTCAACTCAAAAAATGCTCAAAAGCAGCACGAACTTTTGGGACAACCTATGTCTTCAATTTTTGGCCTCAAGATGGATCTCGACGTCTTTTATTTGTGATCGGCGCCGTATGACTACTGCATCCAGTGATGGCTATCCAATTGAAAAGCTCGGTGCGCAAGAACGTTGGTGCCATACCTACGTGGTGTTCAACATGAATATCGTGCTTGTGATCTGGTCACGCACTACTATGGGAAAAAAATTGGATTTTCCGTATTTCGAGATTTGTGAGACCATTGCATTTACGAAACTTATATAGAAAAATAGGGGAGTAAAGTAAAAGTTGAACGCGTATTCCAATATTTTTTTACTTGCATAGCACCATCTTTTGACCAGGAACACTCTTCTGCCCACCTAGCAATACTGACTAGTCAGTACCTGCTGATAAATTAGGTGAATGCAATCAGGTGAGAGTTACCCGACTACTGTCGTCAGCTACTAGCGCTCTGTCGTATCATCCGCTATCACCATCTCATTGTGGTAGCATGAGCACAATCTGACAAATCTGGAATGTCACGTATTCTTCCTTGCAGTTGATTTCTAGAGATAACCGTCCTGTTTCAAAAGCCTCCAAAAAACTTGCTAGCGGAGTTTCTATGGAGTGATTTAGTAATCCAGTGGTCAACGAAGGGAGGATCTCTGCACATGCATGTTAATGCAGTGCGCCTCTTTCTTTCCTAGCGTACGCTGGTTTGTCGGAATGTCAAAATCAGAACGTTCATCGAGAAACTCATCAAGAAGCAAGCTGTTTCGAGGCCGGTGATGAACATTGCACGATGCATTTGTGCAAAAATAAAGAAAATTGTCAGCACACGAAGGCCGCATCCCCTGAACTTTGTCTTGCAAATCGCCTCTTATCCGTTCTCCATTCCACTTAAAAAACCGCTTTGCTTTTCATGCCGCATCTTCGCTTCTGGCTTAAATAAAACGATTGTAACCGACGTCGACTCGTGAGCGTCAATGGTATTTTCGGTCTACCTTCCCCACTTGTTGACTGTAGAATTACATTGACGGGTGTATCTCAGAAGAATAGTCCGGACGCCCTTTCTGGACGTGACCGCGACGTCGCACCTGCAGCGGAAGAGCTTCTGCATGCCTTGTTCGAATTTGAATGGTAAAGGGACGCCGAGCAGGCCCGTTCAAGGGCAACTGGTTAATCGGAAGGCTTGGTAATTCAACGTTTTGTAGATTGTTCTTTGGTACTCTCGCACATGCACGCTATTATAGCGTTTCTGCTTTCTTTCCTTCTTTCAAAGCTTAGTCCCAGAAACTTGCTTTTCTTTCTGGAACTCGAACAACCCACATTGTAACCACTGCCCGTATCCGAGTAGCCGTTTCTCATTCAGCTCATCGCAGCGCTATCGTTTGAATTTACTTGACCTTTCTTCCTTCGCGCGTTGCTCATACTGCCGACTCCATGAACACCCTGTCCCACTGCCATTTAAGCATGAATGAGCCATCGCAAGTGAGTTGTACCCTAGATACCCACCCTCCCCCCTCACTTAGATTATTAACTGCCAGAAACCCACTGCTCCAACCGTCTGATTCAAAACTTCCCCATCCATTGGAAAATCGCCGCGTTGCGACGCCGCACAAGTGGTCGCACGCAGCGACGCGGCAACCGAACGTCTGTTAACAGCTGCCCTGAAAACACGTAACTCGTGCAGCTGATTTTTTCCTTTCTTGAATATGATAATTTGGTCACGACCTTGGGGATGGTCCATTGACAGGGACGAAAGCGGATTTTAAAAAAAATAACGTGTCCACCTTAAACATCGTCGTTGGTCGTGGTTCGGGAGCGGTCGCCCTCCTAACCCTCCAAACACGACGCATCGAGGTGGTTCGGGGCCCTCGCGGCCTTTCCCAGGCACACGTCATCCTACGGGTCCTTCCCGGGGACCACGCTGGTTTCCCTCCCAGCATGGCCTCCGCTCCCCGGGGCATCACGGGTTCCTAACCCAGGAAGGGGGTTTAAGGAGTACAACCCGCGGGGGCAAGGCCCACCGTCGGCCCCAGGCTTTCCCAGCTCTGAGCCGAGGGTTCCCCTGCCCCGGCTACAACCCCGCTGCAACAGCAGCACACAACAACAACTGCGCCTTAGTCGGGCCCCTGCCCTGGCGCTCCCCAAACTACAACCCTACTACAACAACTACAATTAAACATACTCACATTTATTGGCGGATATTGGCGGCAATAAGTTGACGACCTATCTTCTCATCTTCTGCCGGGCTTGGAGGTACCAAGCCATCGCGTCGTCCATCCATCGGGTCGTCGGCGGTAAGTGGCGCACTGCTGGCGCCTGCAGCCGGCAGCGTCCATCCGGTGTAGCGGACGCTGGCTTGCCAGCGCTCCGACAGGACGGGACAGTATGCCGGACCATACTGCCGAGTGCCAGTGGCACTCCGAGCCGTCCAGCTTCCTAGCGTTGCCCGGCACAACGCTCCTCCCGGAGGGAGCGAAGTGCGCCGACTGGCAGAGGCGGCTCGCTTAAGTAGTCCCGGCTGGGCGGGACCGGAGGCGGAGCATGCCCCTATAGTCGGTGCATGCAACGCCACGGCGCCCTGCTGCACAGCAGTGCCCAAGCGCGCGGTGCGCCCGGGACCACAGTCGCGAAACCGCGCA